GGTCCTGTGGGCGGGCAGGACCGGGTGGACCCCGAGGGGTGCCGGGGGTCCGGTGGGCGGGTCCGGGCGGGCCCCAGGGTGCAGGGCGTCCTGTGGGCAGCGCGCTAGTCCGCGGCCTGCAGGTCAGCGGTGCCCCAGCCTGCGGACAGGTCTAAACGGGGCTGCAGGAGAGCGTGCCCCTGCGCCCTGGGCCCTGCGCCTGCGCCCTGCGCCTCAGCCCGAAGGACGGGCGCTGAGGCCCGCTTTCCTTACAACCATGGAAGAACGAGTCCTTGGCACAAAAGGAGAAGCAAAGCGACACAGGTTTATTGAAGAAGGTGAGCGGAGCCCCCGACAGGCGAGCCCCGGGGAGACGGGTGCAGTAACAGGGTGTCCCTAGGACAGAGCCTGGACACGCGCACGGCCCCTGACAGCTGCCCGACGGACAGCACCCAGGCCCTGAGTTCAAGCCTCAGCACCAACACACACAGCAAAAACGCTGTTGGACAGCCAGGGTCCTTATCGGTCCCCAGACTCGACCAGGCCCCACCCAGCCTGCACAGCTCTCCTGGTGCTGGAGCCCTCACGGCTCCCACGTCTGGGTCTAGTCAGCCCGCTGCTCACATGCACAGCTTTCAAGGGCAGTGCCAATGTGAGGCCCGGGGCATGGACCGAGCCAGGCCACGGACTGCAGCCAGACAGTGCTCACAGCCATGGCGAGGCGACTCCTCGGGCCTGCAGAACCTCTGAGCCAGGCCTTCACCTGCCCTCAGAGGCACAGATGGGTCACACACAATCACAGTCATGGCCAGGCCCAAGGCTAGGGAGGGAAAGACAACTGAGCAATAATCAAAGTCTGTGCTGCACTGTAGCCAACCGGCAAGTAGAGAGGAAGCAAAGGCCCCTTGGCCAAGCCTTGGGTTTTCTATGCCCTGCTCTGAGCTAGCCTGTGGGAGCGTCTGCTGTCCTATGCAGACCTGGCATCCGCCAGGTACACCAGTGTGCACCCAGAAAAACAGCAGAACTGCTGCAGGATGACCAGGTGCACCAGTGTGCACCCAGAAAAACAGCAGAACTGCTGCAGGATGACCAGGTACAGAAACCTGGGTTTCTCACTTCAGTTGGAGTGACCTCCCCTCTTCTGCATGGAGACTAGTCCTCAGGTTCAGCAGTCAGCAGAGCAAACCCAGAGGGGTTTTATGCCCTCCCCCAAAAGAAGTAAACTTGGGATTGCACTGAGGGCACGGATGCAGGTAGGATCTGGGCTGGTTCTGTGAGCAGAAAGGTTGTGCTTAGCCCTGGCATGGACATTGTTAACTGTGCACATTACAGATGTCCACCAAGGAAACAGAATGGTCACAGTTCCCTGACAAGGATTCCAGGGAGGTAGAAGAGGAGAGGAGCGATCATATGTAATGAAAACTGAATAAGTAGAAATATGCTCAAGCTATCAATAATCAGAACAAAAATATGGACTAAAAATAATGTTTATAAAAAAAACATGGAAAACATAAAGAAACAGACAAGTTGGAGCAGTGTGCATTCCCTCTTTGCAGCACTGGGGTGGAGATCTGACCAGGGAGGCCCGGGAAAGCGCCCGGGGGACACCATCAGACAGCTGCATTTGTCAAGAGCTGAAAGAGCAAAGCATCAGCCATAAAGACTTTAGATTGCTATGCTACAATTTTAAATTTTTGTATGACCAAAAGAAAAATATCCTTAAGTGAAAAATCAGAAACAACACCTTGGAATATCTTCAACTGATCTCAGACTGCTACTTAGAATACCACACCAACCCCTAAGGGGAGACAAGCCGTGTAAGGAACTGGCTCTGGGTGAGGAGCGGAGCCTGGGTCCCGGCCTTCCCCACGCCAGCTCTGCACGCCCCCCCCCCGTCTTGGTCCCCAGCGCGTCCTGCTGCCTGTCCTGAGTCACGCTGCCCACTCCTCCCTTCCTTTCCCTTCATCTCTAGTCCCCTTTCTAGTCCCCTGCTTTCAAAAACCTACCACCCGTGGCCCTGGCTGCCCACTCCAGCTCTTTATTGTCGAGTGCCCGTCCCTTCCTGTGGCCTCACCATGCTTGTTCTGGGTTCTGTCCCTGCTCTGTGTTGTACTCAGCAAACACCAATAAAGGAATGGATAACTATGTGGAATACTGTAAAACAAATACTGTTTTGTCCCCTCAGAAGTCCTAACCAGGCGTGGGAGCAGCTCCCTAGGAAGGAAAGGGTGGTAGGACAGAAAGTCCTTTGTGCACGGGCAGATACTGGGCCCGTGGAGGACATTCTGCCCACAGAACTGGGTAGGTACTGAGGTGGATGTGTGGCTGGGGGGCTCAGCCCAGGCAAGGGTCAGCGCCATGGCCAGCAGTGGGAGCTAGCCCGATTCCCTGGGAGTGGGGCCCTGCTTACAGCTGAGGCGTGCCTGACAGCATCCAATCTACAAAGACTGAAAGGAAGGCCAGCCCGTGTTCTATTCACCACAGGAAAGGAAGGCCAGCCCCTGGCAGTCAGCCACCCCTCCTGCACGCCCGTCTCCAAACCTGTGACAGTATGCAGAGCTCTGGGCTCCCTCTCAGCTCTGTCTGGGGTGTTCTGAGGGCACTGGAGTCAGAGGAGCCCAGCAGCCGGCAGCACCACCAAGGGGCTGCATTCCTTCTGGACGGCTGCCCGACTCAGTGGTGAAGCTTTAGCTTGGCACCTCTAAGGAGGTAGGGCAACTGCACTTGGAAAATCAAGTACAGGAAAGACATGTGAAACTCTGGGAAATGCACCGTGTGCATTCGTTTAAAAGTTCACCAGGACAGCCTAGCTACCAGAAACTTCCTTCTTCCAGTAGAAACTGAAAAATATATAAAGTATTGTCTGTGTCAACTCCTCTCAGCCCATCCCACGTGATAGCACTCTACCATTTTTCCTTTTCCAAAGGGTACATACCACAAGCAAGTACAGTTAGTGCTGACAACAAGACCCTGAGAAGTGACCACAGCACACATTTCAAGTCCCACTGCTGCTTTGTACAGCATCCTCAGAGGGTGTATGTCATTGAGCAACAAAACTGAAAAATTGGGAAGATTTTTGCTGCCTTTAGTGCAGGACCACTGCCAGTGTGTACGTCCACACAAGCTGTGCTGCCAGTGTGCACGTCCGCACAGGCTGCCAGTGTGCACGTCCGCGCACTGTTGGCCTCTGCGGCCTGTGCGGGAGGAGCAGGTGTCGCTCTGTGAAGGCAGAGGCTGAGGCTGATTGAGGATAAACACCGATCTCTTCCTGAGAGGGGGTGTGAGGATGGTTAGGGTATTCTTCTGTCACATGCTTGAGCTCCAGCAGGGCGTCCTGCTCAGAAGCTGGTCTCTTAGAGCAGAAAGGAAGGAGAAAGTCTCCACCCCTTGAGAAAGTCTCAAGGTTAAATGTGCAAATATGAGGATCTGGGGATCTATGCTCAGCCAGAGAAATGGGCAAAGGGGGTGTGGGGAGAAGCAAGGGGCTAGGTGCCGGGCGCTGGGCTTCCCTCCTAATTCAGACTTCAGGGAAGGGAGATGGCAGTGGAGGTGGAGATCTGAGGAGGCCTCATGTCTGTGTCAGTGGCACCCAGCACCACCCTTTGGAGGACTTTGTGGGCCAAGAGGGATGGAGAGGCCACAGGGGCCGTGAGTGGTCACTTAGGACCCTGGGCTTGGTGGATAATCTTTCTCAGCCCCATCTCGCTGAAGGCCAGTCCTCCCGAGAGGCAGCAGCAGGGCAGGCAGACCAGGTCCTGCCGACCACACCCACCAGACTGAGATGTGTGAGGCACGGTGCGTCTGCCAACAGCTTTCATGCTGAGCCAGACCTACACCCAGCACCTTGAAGCCGTGAGTCATGAAGAGAAAGTCCTGCTGGAGGCCGTGTGCAGCAGGAGCCAAGGGTCCTGTCTAACAGGCTTCTGCCACATCCAAGGTGCCCGGGGAGGTCACAGACTCCCGCCTGAGGAAGGCCAGCTGCCCAAGCCGGCGGCTGGACGTCCCCCAGCCTTGAGCACGTCGTGGTGCTCCCGCTGCGTGGTGGACACTGAGGTGGCGGAGAGGTTGGTCTGAGCTGCGCCCTGTGACACACCATGTACCCACGCCATCAGCTGTTATTTTGTGGGTACACTGCACCCCCTTTCTGACTTTAATAGACAGTCCTTACAGTTCTCTAAACCCTACTGTATGCCTGTCTCTCTCTGACTCTTCCTGAGCTGGTAGCAGGCCTTTCCTGAAAGCCCCGTGGGCAGCACCTAGCCCCCAGGGAGCACTGCCTCGTCCTTCCCTGACACTGTGGTCTCCAGAGTATGTGCTCAGGAAGCTCGCAGCTATCCTCACAGGTCCACAGAGAACATTAGACAGACAAGCCTCCCCCCCCCCACCCCCTGGGGCAGCTCCAGCTCTGGCCTGGGTATGAACACCTGCTACAGGAGGGAGGAGCTGGAGAGCAGGTACCTGCAGGTTGCCACAGAATGTTCTAGATTCTGCCGGTGAATGGGCTCGCTGCCTCTCTCCTTGGAGAGCTCTGTCTCTGCACGGTGTGCTGCCTGTGCGGTGCTCAACAGCGCCACACAGGAACCGGGAGGCAGCGGCTCTGGAGCAGGGCGCCGTGGCTGTGTGGCCGGAGGGCTGGCCCTCCTGGAACACAGCTGGCTACTGCCTCAAAGAGAAATGCCGTCCTATTTGGACAGACTCGGGCTTGCATGTAAGAACCCCTGAATCCCACACGCTGCACAGAGCCAGCTGCATGCATGTGAGGCGGACGGTGCTTGCTGTCCCCCATCTCAGGGGCTGAGGCGGCCGTGCCGAGGGAGACCTGGAGACGGCGTGGTTTCCTGGAGAGAGGCAGCTGGGGTGGGAGAGGCCCTCAGAGGGGCCAGTGTCCCAGAGGCACTTTGGGGAGCACCTCGGGTACAGCCCCCCGGCCGAGAGACGGCCATGAGAGTGAGTCTAAGGGCTCACACTTGACCACAGGGCCAGCCCCAGGCGCTCTGCAGCCGCAGCCCAGAGGAGGGCTCTGGCCCTCTCTGCGGCCCGGCATGCAGAGGTGGTGGTGGGTCGGCTGCTCCTGGCAGGCACGGGGTGCAGGGTAGGGTGGGGCTAGTTCCCTGCAGGGTCCAGCTGGGGTCCTCCTGTGGGGATGCCCAGGGGGCTGGGTGCAGGCCTGGGGCAGGCCGTCTGGCTCTGTTTTCAGACGTCTCCTGGCCCCACTGGCTCCCAGCCACCCCCTGCTGGGAGGGCAGCCCCCCGCCGCACCCTGCCACCCAGCATCACCTTCCGTCTTGATTGGCACCTCCAGCAGCAGAGGAGTCATTGGCAGGCCGGGCAGGCCGGTGCCCTCCGTGGAGAAGCCTCCAGCCATGAAGCACTGTACCCCAGATCGGGGAAGTCGCGTCCCCAGGCAGCGCTGGGGGACATGACGGGTGGACGGGTACACCTGGGCCTGGGGGACATCCCTCAGGGGCCTGTTCATCTGGCTCCCGTAGGCACTGAGGGGGCTGCCCAGTGAATCGCTGAAGGTAGTAGTCAGGCCAGCGGCACTGGACACGCCCTGGCTGCCCGGGCCGGACACGCAGGAGCTGTGGAGCACAGCATGCGTGGAGTGCAGGTCCTTCTTCCCCGGCTCTGGCCTCGGCCGGCTGCTGTCCTCCCGGACAGGCTCTTCCGTCACCCAGCTCGGATGCCTGGCGGGCGCAGCTGTGTCTGAGTGACGACTGTATCCCTGCCTCTCCCTCTGCCTTGTCACTTTTGCAGACGCACGTGGCACCCTCTCCTGACCTTCTTCCTCATTCCTGCCAAGAAGATGGCCATCAGACAGTAGCAGGGGCCTAGCCTCACCCTGGGGACCTCAGCAGATGCGGCCTGAACTCCAAGGCAGGCCCCGCCACTCCAGCCACACTGGCCTGAGAGTACAGAGCAGGCCCTCTTTTGCCGCTCACCTTCCCGCCCCCAGTGCTTGGGTAAGAAGCTGTACACGCACTCTTTCCTACAGCAGGAAAGTCTCCACAGGGCTAACATGAGCAGGGGGTAAGCTGGAGGGCCAGGCCTGTGTCTGGCCTCGAGACAGGCATCTGTGTGCTGGGAGTCAGTGGCCACAGCGAGACCCTCTGTGCCCGGTCTGGCTATCAAGACCCTGGAGGGCAGGACAAAAGGAGGAGTCGCTGGGCGAGAAAGGCAAGGGGAGTGTCTAGGAGCAGGAGGGCTTCCACGCCACACCATCTGTCCTAAGAGCATCACATTCGATGCTGCCCAAGCCGGGGCCATGTCTGTACACAGAGCAGACAATCAAGTAGCCCAGCTGTTCCCTCGGAGAGTCCAGACTGCATCCAGACCGTCCAGACCTTTCTTCTCCACACATCCATCCTTTACGTTAGTGTCTGAGGTGACTTGACAAGGGACGGAGGCCTGGAAGCCCGCTACTACTTACCCTGCCCTCCGCTTGGGGCTCAGGAGGAAGTCGGAGTTGCCTCTGAAGCACAGGCATGGGACCCTGCCCAGAACCTGGGCCCAGCAGCCACTGTCCAAGTGTGCTCTGAACTCGGTCATGTTGTTTTCTGCGTTGCTCCTTCCTGTGAGGGTTTAGACAGAGGAGAGCTGTCACCATGGGGCTGAGAGACAACTTCTTTCTTGTGGGAAGAATGTCCAATTCCTGAGATCAGTTCCGGACCACGGTAGCTGGCCACCATCTGGTGGCAGAGCCTGGAACGTGTGGGGCTCCTCGGGCAGGGCTCTCCCGGGACAAAGACCTTTTGCCCATTAAGAAAAGATGAGACAGAGAAGTAATAGAGGTACCTGCGAAGAAGCCGGGTTTCCGGTGACGTTCTGATTCACACAGATTTGTGATAGCCTTTGATCTATGAAGAACAGATGGAAGTCAGTGTGGAATGGCCGATGACAGATGCTTTTGAAGTCTAGGGTAAGTTTTGGCAAGTAGGCAAAAGCACACGTGGGCTTTCATCAAGAGGATCCAGAAACAACGAAGGCTCTCACAGTCTTCACCAGGAAAGCCACAGTGACCGGAGTGCACCAAGACGGTTCCCAGTGGACACCTGCCTGCAGAGTGAGCGGACGGCTGCCCTCGCTCAGCTCAGAGCACCTAGAGGGTGCGGCCCTGTCCCCCACATGACATTGTATTTTTGTTGTTGGTCGTGGGGCCTGAACTCGGCCAGGGCAGGCGCTCTACCACGGAGCCACCTTCCCACGTGGCATTCTGCTCCCTTCTATCTTCTTCTTTTTTTTTTTTTTTTGAGCTCTGTACCTGACACTTTTGCTCCTTGGTTAGTGCTCCACCCACTGAGCTGCACCCCAGCCTCCCTTCTGCCCGGACGATCTGTGTGCACAATGAACCACCGGTGTCTGACTGCCGTGCTTGCAAGCCTCTGTGGGAGAGGTGTGACCGTAGCCACAGTAGGCCTCCATCTGGGCCCTGGGAGGGTGAGACTGCAAGATTGAGCTGCATTTCTCATCGTGAACCCCAGGGGGCAGGAGAGGGCGCTCTCCAGGACCCCTCGGCTCCTTGTCAGGTCTGCGGGAGCTTTGGGGAAGGATAAAGCTAAATCAAACTGGGCACCAGTGGATCACATCTGTGCTCTTAACTGCTCAGAAGGCTGAGACCCAGCAAATCATAGCTCAGAGCCAGGTGCTGGAGATTCCATCCTGAAAAAAACAGCAGAGTAGGGCTTGATGTGTGGCCTACGTAGGAGAGTGTCAGCCCTGAGTTCAAATCCCAGCACCACAAAAAGGAAACAAAGTGACAGCAGCTTAAAAGCATAGAAAACTCTGGATGAAGGCAGAGCAGTTCTAAGTGAGTTTGGTTTGACCCGGAGCCCTGCCTGGTGGGGTCCACCCAGTTGCTAGCTGTGGCACCGACCACATCTTATCTTTGTGCCTTTTCCCTGTGGAGCTGTTTTTCCTCGTATCTTAAGAAACAAGGGTGCATCAAATTCATGAACACTTTCCAGAAGTCTATTCCTGGCAGCTTGCTGGTTTAGACGGGGACCGAGTGTTTGGCCCAGAAGCTGCTGTCTCTCGGTATCTGTGAAGCTGTCACAGGATTATGGTTGCAGACCTGTGACACAGAGGGAGAGCAGTGAACAGAGGAAACTTAAGTACAGGACAGACCCTTGGACCACCACTAGAGAGGTCAGAGGGGAGTCGCAGAGTCTTTGGCAGGGTGAAGTCACACCTGCAGAAGACAGCAGTAGCAGCACACTGGCCTTGAATTTGGGAGATGAGAAGATCCATAGAAAAAGCACAGCCAGGTGTGTGGAGCACAGGTGTGTGTGGAGGAGGCACAGGTGTGTGTGGAAGCACAGGTGTGTGTGGAGCACAGGTGTGTGTGGAGGAGGCACAGGTGTGTGTGGAGGCACAGGTGTGTGTGGAGGCACAGGTGTGTGTGGAGGAACAGGTGTGTGTGTGGAGACACAGGTGTGTGTGGAGGCACAGGTGTGTGTGGAGGAACAGGTGTGTGTGTGGAGGCACAGGTGTGTGTGTGGAGGCACAGGTGTGTGTGTGGAGGCACAGGTGTGTGTGTGGAAGCACAGGTGTGTGTGGAGGCACAGGTGTGTGTGGAGGAGGCACAGGTGTGTGTGGAAGCACAGGTGGGTGTGTGGAGGCACAGGTGTGTGTGGAGGCACAGGTGTGTGTGGAGGAGGCACAGGTGTGTGTGGAGGCACAGGTGTGTGTG